CGAAATTGCGATCCCTACCTAACGAATTCCTCTCGAAGGGTTTATCACAAAAGTGAGCTCTCCGTTCCAATTGATTCTCATTTGATTCTTCTCTACACATGTCATAATTCTGCTAATCCATGTGCTGGGAAGTCCAATCTCACCCAAAGTGTCCCGCAAGAAATTCCAATAAAGACGGTCGTATGCCTTCTCAAGGTTTATTTTGATAACAATGCCTCCTCATTTCCCCTTCCCGTTTCTTAGCGAGTGGAGCGTTTCTTGCAGCAGGAGTATGTTATCGTTGGTCTGCCTCCCTCTGATAAAATCACTATGCGTGGGAGCCACTAATTTCGGCATTAGAGGCTTCAGTCTATTGGCCATAGCCTTGGTGATAGCTTTAAGGGCTACGTTTTTCAGACAGATATGCATGAACTGTGTCGGGGTTTCAGGATGATCGACCTTAGGGATAAGCACAGCTGTCGAGTCCGTCAATTCCTCGGAGATGCTGCCAGTTTCAAAAAACTTTGTGGCCATCGTTGTAAGATTTCTTTCCACCAATGACCAGATTTTTTTTTATGGAAAGCTGCTTGGAATCCATCCGGTCCGGGAGCCGACATCGGTTTCATCTCAAAGATGGCCTTATGGAAGTCAGAAATATTGAATGGTCGAAGCAAACCCAAGACACGATTTTGAAATTAGTTTGATAAATCATAATAAATAAAAAGGTAAGAAGAGAAGGGATTAAATGGAGCGAGGCTGCTCATTGGAAATGGGTGTTGGTGTTCCTGGCTTAGCATTGTTATGCTGAATATCAGTTGTTTCGATCGGAGTTGATTCTACCATGGCCTCATCTTCCGTCTTCTTATCGGATGAACTGCCTATTTGCTCTTTCTTCCTCTGAGTTGTGACTAGAGGTGGCAATTGGATCGGATTCGTGGATTCGTGGATTGGATTGGTGGATCCATGGATCATATGGATTGGATTGGTGGATTCATGGATTGGATCAAATGGATTGGTGGATTGATCCATGAATCCAAATGACATCCAAGGCTTGAACCAAAATGTAAATTTTGAAAAGTTTAGGTACTAAAATGTCATAATAACAAATTTTAGGTACCAAAATGTAATTTTCCAATGATTTTTTCGTATAAAAATATAAATTTTATGTACCAAAATGTAAAATATAAAAAATATAGGTATCAAATCGTAATTTGTCATTTGGATCCATGGATTGATCAATGAATCCACCAATTCAATTGGATTTGGATCAAATGGATTGAATTTAAATGAATTAATTGGATTAAGTGAATAATTTGGTGGATGGATTGAATTGGATTCATGGATTTGGATCCTAATTGCCACCTCTTTCTTCTATTGACTGTAAAGAAATTGGAAGTAACGTTGGTATTTGTTTCGACGGGTGGTTTTTTCTGCCCCGGGTTGCGAATTTGAAGCGACTTCTTAGTAGCTTTGATGTTGACACTCTTGGATTGAGGTGCTTGGTCAGCCATCTTCTTGCGATAGTGATGTCGAGCGGAGGAGTCTCTTTGATTGGGGTCTTTGTTTTCCTTCTGCTGGAGATGCAGATCAGCTACATCTAGAATCTGAGTTATTGTCTTGTTTCGGCCAGCAATAACTTGCGGCTGTAGAGTGGGCCGTTGGAGGGATGGTTGGGCTTCTTCTAGACTGGTTTCCATGGGCCCCTTACTTGAAGAAGCTTCTTTCATGATGGGCCCAATAGGTCGCCATTCCTTCGAGGTAACCGTTGCTCTGCCTTCAACATTTGTTTTTGTAGATTCTGCAGTTTTCCCCTTTTAGCTCCCCTGCTTACCTTGTTTAGTCCCCCCTCTGCTCCTGCTTTACTTTTAATTCCCCAATTGTGATTCCTTGCTCGGCATTATTCTTTTCCTTCACCAGATTGCTATCCCTGAGTGATTCTTGCTTCTTTCCTTTATTTGTGCCCGGATTTGATGTTGTGGTCGCAATGGGTTATTTGTTCTGGCGACGGGTTTTGTGGACGACCTGCATCCATGGCCCGTAGCCAGCTGGTGCTTCCGAAGCCTCCATAGTCGCCGGCGAGCTGGTGTTGTCTTTCGTTTGGGTCGTCGGAGCTAAAAGTAGCATCAGTTTCTTTGTAGGACAATCCCTCTCTGTATGTTTGATCCTTCCACATTCATAACATATAGTCGGTATGTTCTCGTACATGACCTGTTGTCGCGCACCGTCTAGCCGGACTCGAGTCGAAAGAGGTTTGGTCATATCCAAATCGTTGGCAATGCGAACAAATTTACCTCTCTCCAAGTTCTTGGTGTGATAGTTGAGTTTGAAAATTCGGCCTACCAGATTTCCAATCGCAAATAAAACCTCTCTATGATAATAGTGGACTGACAGCTTCGGAAATTGAACCCAAGCAACGACTGATCTATGTGGCTTGTCTGAAGTACAGAATGAGGGCGACCATTGGCGGACCACCAGACAGTGATCTAGAATTACCCATGGTCCATCTGAGAGCCCTTAAGTAATCTTGATCATTGCCAAAGGTCGCTAGGAATGTGTCATTGTTCAAATCAATTATTTCGAGAGAGTCTATCGGCCTCCACTTCCATCGTAGCTGGGAGCATAGGTAGAAGTAGGTATGGAACGACCGAGCAGACGGACAATGAGGGGTTTTCTCCATGGTTGACATAGCTTCTCTTAGAACTTCCTTGATAATTTCAGCTTTGGTTCCTCCCTGAAATAACCCTGTCGCTATGTCCCCTTCTCCTACGAAAGTCCATTGAGACATTTTCCTTGATGCTTCTTGGCTGATACCTACAAGTGCAGCCTTAAAATTTAGAGGTTGTGTATTAGAGCCAAAAACAACATCACTCTTGTCCCCTATGACGGTCGAAGGAATGCCCGGTGGTCGTCCCAAAAGTTCTAGTTTTAGCAGGCGCTCGGTTCCTGACTTGCGCCTTGCCCGATTAGGCGTAGCCTACGCGCACCTAGGCGTTCAGAGCATAAATGAAAAAATTCTCAAATATTTCCCGTTTTCTGGAATAATTCATTTAATCCAAGTGCATATAAAATTAGCAATGCCTAGTTCTTAATAGTAAACACTTAACATAACAAATAACAAGCAAATAGTGACCAATCGTCTGCTAATAGGTGCTTATAGAGGCAAGAAGCTTGTGCTACGTACAGAGGAGAAGGAAGGAGCAGCAACTGACGAGTTTCGACTTTATTTCCCACTATAGCAGCGGAGCGGTGTGAAAGCGAGAAGAGTGATCGATGACTTTCTCCTGCGGCGGCAGAGAGCAGCAAATGGGGCGAAAGCTAGGGCAGCAGGCGGTAGCAGATGGGGCGAGAGCTAGGGCGGCAGGCGGCAACAGATGTTACTTCCCGTGTTTATGATTTTCTAGGCAAGAGGCAAGTTTCTGATTTTCTAGGAAAAAACGAAGAGTATTGGGTTTAACCGCCTAAGCTCGCCCAGGAACGCCCAGGCACGCCTTCTCTCCACCAGGCGCAAACTAAGCGCTATTCCTACATACTAAGAGGTACCAGCGCCTTTTACAAAGCCTATGGCCAAATCAAGGCGATCCTCCACCGCCTAGCGCCTAATTGAGCCTAGGCGTGCGCCTAGGCGCGCCTCCTTGAACCTTGGTTATTAAATAGAATTTATCTTACTAGTTAGAATCTTTGCACTATAATGATCTATACCTAGTAGGTTATTTGTTCGAATCCCAACAATACTTATTCGCTATACGAGATGAGTATTACCTACGACTATTTGCAAAACCTCTCCCAACTAAAGGTGAAATGGTGCGCTTTCGGTTAACTGCACCGAATAACTAGGGGTTTTCAAATGGTTACCATGGTTATGACCAAACCAAATAAGGCTAAATTCCATTGACCATGGAATACAATATCATAATCAAACCGTCCAAACTAATACAACAACCAAATTAACCAAACTAAAGTTTAATCGGGTTGGTTAATTGGTTAACCAGATTAACCAATATAAAATCATATTATCATTGACGATGAAAATTTTCCGGTTAATACAACAATTCACAATTTATATAATGAATAAAACATAACAATCAACACGTAGTTATAGTTGACCCTTAACAAAAATACATGCAACTAAGATAATTATCTTACGATTAGTATAGAAGTATTCACCTAACAAAAATTTATGACAATGGTATGAGTTAATGAATTGTTGTGTTTGTGTAAATTGACTTAGTCTCTTAGCAATTATCATAGGCTCGAAATGACCTTCCTTTCAAGTTTTCATCTATCATAATGTATGAAATTTATCTAAATTAGGCGTCCATATGTTGTGGTCTACACTTTACATATACAAATATACACTATATGAGCAATATTGAGCTTTATATTTTATGAGTCTAAAAGGGATGAATGTTAACTCTTGAGTGGTTATGCAAAGTATTAAGTATGTGTATATAATATATGTTAGATATATGACTAATTACTTAACTGGTTAATTTGGTTTGACTGATTAGGAGTGTCTGAAACCAAACCACAACAACCTAAACCAAACAAGCTAAAAACTTTAACCAAACCAAACCAATTATCCAAATTAACTAAACCAAATTATCCAAATAGTACCGGTTAAAACGGTTACCACGATAACCAAACCGTTTGAACACCCCCTAGCGAATAACCGTTTGGTTAATCGTAGTGATGGCAACGGGTCATATTGGGGCGGGTACCACTAATCCCACGCCCTGCCCCGTCACCTGGAACAATGCCCCGCCCTGCCCCGTGCCCCGCGACGGGTCGGCACAATCTGACCCATGTTGTGCCCCGCGCGGGGACGGTAAAACCCGCCCTAACCCATATCAGCAAATTATGTTCTAAACCAAGATTAACACCCACACAAACCCATGAATGACACCTGATGCAAGAAGTAATCAACTAAAATTCATAACATAAACATTCTCCAAATGAAGTTATAACCAAAGTTTCACATGAGTAATCCCAACAAAAAGAAATAAAAATCTGCCAACACAATCTCAATCGTTCAAATTTGATTAACTAAGTTTCAAACTTAATGAAATGAAAACACCCTCTTCCATAGATTTGTTCTTCCACTATCTCCTGGACAGATTACATCTCCTCGGCCTGCAAGCATCCCTCAAACAGCATGCATACCTCTTCATCTAATATTTATTTCCATTATCAACATCCTGAGGCAGCAACAACAAAAGACAACTAAATAAATGGGCAATACTTCGATAACAAAAGACAACTTGTGGCCGCACCAACAAAAGAACAAAACAGAAACAACAGCTCTATAACAAAACAAAAACCAGCAGTACCTTTGTTTCATCATCTATGTCTTCATCAGAATCATGAAGGACTGTATCATGCTTGCTCTCCACTAATAACATAACATTGAAAACAATAAAAAAAATTAGAAATGCTACTAACTTTGTTTACATAAATAAGAACATATGCAAATAGAGTAAGTTAGTTTACCTTTTGAATTAGCACGCAACCAACTTTGGGCGCACATCAAAGCTTTTATGGTATTTGGTTTAAGCCTACTTCGATGAGGAGAAATGACGCGTCCACTAGTGCTAAAGGCAGACTCAGAGGCCACCGTAGAGACAGGAATAGCCAGAATATCTCTTGCAAGCTTGTGCAATATAGGATACTTACCCTTGTTTGACTTCCACCAGCATAAAACATCAAAGTCGAGAGACTTGGGCACAACTTCATCATCTAAATAACTGTCCAGATCTGACCTCACAGGTTTTCTTTTCTTTCGGGAAGCATACAAGTCAAATTTGCTGGCTAATGACCCCACACACTTGCACCCTTCTGCTGACTGCTCAATTGACCACGACCATCATTCTCTTGTTCTTTCTCTCTTTCCTTCTTTTCATATTCTTCCACCAAATTACGACATATTCCACGAATCCTCTCCATCTCAAATTCACTATCCGTGCCATATATGTCAGGGAAATAACAATCAAGAACATCCATCTTGTACCGAGGATCCAGTATGGCTGCCACCGCCATCAAAACATGCACATCTGACCAATATTTCTCATATTTTTCCAACATTTCAGTGGCCATATGCTCTATCTTCTCAATCCCGCAAGTAACCCACTTATTTATGGCCACCTTAATCTCACAAATCTCAGCAAAACACAAATTTACAGTAGGATAGTTGGTACCAGAAAAAAGTTTAGTAGTCTCGTAAAAGGACTCTAGTCTAGTACCGATCTCCTCTGTCATACGCCAATCAAGGTCACTAGGCGAGCATTTGTATTTGCGCTCGCGACTCTTTAAGCGACCAAAAAATTCCTTATACTTCAAAGCAGTGTTCAACATAAGAAAGATTGAATTCCAACGTGTTTCACAGTCAAGTTGGAATTTCTTACCAGTGGGCTTTTTTAGTTGGTGAGCTGTTTCCTCAAACGTTTCCCATCCCCTTTGCGAGTGTGTCCAAAACTGAACACTATCTCGTATCTTCTCTATGCCTTTCCCAATGATTTTCAGCCCGTCTTTCACTATTAGATTCAGAATATGCACGCAACAACGCATATGAATCATACTCCCATTATGGAGAAGAGACTCCGTTGCAAGCTTCTCCATCATTCGATTCAACATCGAATCATTTGTTGAGCAGTTATTAACGGTGATGGCTAATAGCTTGCGGTCGATGTTCCAATCCAGCAAGCATTTCATCAATGCTTCAGCAAGAACTTCACTTGTATGAGGGGCAGGTACATAAATAAACCTGCCATGTTTAAGTAAAGGTAATGAGTAGAAAGCAAACAACTTGTTCTTACTTGGAAACATAAATTAACCAATTATCTCAAAAGTTGCAGCCAATTAAGTAACAGACAAATTTGCAGCCTATAATATCAAAAGAATAAGGGAAAAGAAGACTAAATTATGCATTAGCAATCAAACGGTTTGGGGTACTGATTTTACTTAATTCTACTGTTTGTTTGCTGAAATTCATAATGTTATATTAGAAAGTATCTTGGCTGAACTTATATGCATACGTTTCCAAAAAAAAGTAGATAAACTTCCAAGCACGAACAGAGTTTAGGTCATTAGTGAAATACCTGATAATTCGACTTTCCAAATTCCAGTTATTGTCAATGTAATGTGCTGTGATAGCCATGAAGCCCTTCTTCTGGGAAGACGTCCACATGTCGGTAGTAACTGCAATACGACCTTCATTCCTCTCAAAAATTTTCTTTACTGCTTGCTTTTCAACATCATATATGAGAAGGCAATCCTTCCTAATGGTGTTTCTTGTCACCATCTTGAAACAGGGGTTCAAACTCATGCAAAAACTCCTAAAACCTTCATGATCAACAATCCTTAGAGGATATTCATGCCTGATTATTGCTTTAGCCAATTCTTTTCGAGAAGCATCTTGATTGAAGTTGAATGGCGTCAGTTGGAACTTTTCTTTGCTTGCATTGCCATGTAAGACTTGTTGTCTTATATCCATAGGTCGATGCACTTTAGGACATCTTCCATAGTGATTCTTCAGATGGTTAGTCCCTTGCTTTGGGTCTCCGATAAGCCTCTTCTTGCAATACTTGCACTCGGCTTTTAACTCACCATCAACTGTTATTTTGTCGTAGTGGCCCACCACTTTGAGTAAACTTTTCCAGCCGTTCCTCCATGCGCTTCTGGCCGGTTGGTTGAGGAAGAGCAGGTTCAGCTTGAACCTCAGCGTTAACCTGATTAATAGTGGGTGACGGTTGAGGGATATTTGGATCCATATTTGGAGCAGCAACTTTAGTTTGTTCGACTTGCCCCTCATCCATATTCTGCACCAATAAACAAATCACAAAATGATCTTAAGTTTGAAATCCAATTTTTCAGGCTATGTGCTTATAGAACACGATGCTGATGGATTTAAACAATTAAAGTTAAGCAATCATGATGGTGGGTTTAAATAATCATTAGTTCATGCTCTGGCACTTGTCTACTTCAATTGAACTGCTTAGCTACTTCACAGAAGAAACCATCGTTGGAAAGACATCCCTGGAATGATCCAAACTATGCTACCTCGTGTTCTTTTTATAATTAAAAATAATACAGGTTGCTATCATTCACTGCATGTTAGAGGAAAATATGTTTAACTCAATTGATTAAGCAATTGCTTTCACGAAAGCCATTAAACCATTCCACCAAGTAATATAGTAAAATACCAGCACGAACCAATAACACCACACAATTACGCAAGCACACAATTAGATACCAGGAGAAAGAGCTTTTGAATATACCTGATAAGCGATAGGTCGAACCTTGACAGGAAAGAGCTGGATATGGGACTGCGGAAGCCGGCAGTTCAGCGGTAGCCAACAAGTAGGAATCACAGAGGGTTGAGGCTTTAGATCTAAAGGCTCTAGAGGAAGAAGATGATAGGATAAAGAGAAAGATGATAAGACTATATCGATCGTCGTACGCGTCGGCGTCTATGATTAGTGATGGCAGACTGGGAAGAGGGTATTGATTGGGAAGAGGATACGGAATCGACATAAAACTCGAAATTTTAGGGATACGAGGAGTCGTTTGCATTGATGGCCTCGGTTGTTTCGGCGGACAAAGGTGGAAAGGAAGCGTAGGTATGGAAACGATCGGATTTTGGGGAGGATTGAATTTTAGGGATTGTAAGGTCACAACTCGTATGCATAGAGAGATGGCGGGGCGGGGCGGGACGGGGCGGACAAGGCGGCTTACCCATTGCTGCCCTGTTCTGATTGCGGGTCGGGTTCTACCCGCCCCAATACGGGTCGGGTCGGGGAAAACCCGTCGGGGCGGGTCCATTCTGCCATCACTAGTTAATCGCAACCGATCAAAGAGAAATGAGAGCACCGTTGGTTTTGGAATTAGGGTACCAGGCTACCAGGCGCAGCCAGGCAGCCTCAATAAGCAAATTATGATGCACAATTCGCACAGGGACAGGATGGTTCAAGTTTGTTCAAAAAATTTCGAGGCACAATCTACATAGGTGCCTGATTCAACACAACATTCAGAAAGCGATGCAAAGAGAGTTTGAGGAAGGAGTATAAACGAGAAAGACATGAACCCCAGCAAAAGCTCAACGCTTGGAGAACTGAGGAGCCTTGCGAGCTTTCTTGAGACCTGGCTTCTTCCTCTCCACAATCCTCGAGTCCCTCGTCAGGAGCCCTTCCGACTTCAGAGGCGATCTGTGGCTGGCACTGACCTTCAGCAACGCCCGAGCAATTCCCAATGAGATAGCCTGCGCCTGGCCGGATAGCCCGCCGCCGTGAGCTTTCACGAACACGTCGTAGCTGCCCTCGTAGCCCAATGTCACCAATGGAACTTTCACGTACTGAATCCACAGCGGATTCCCCTGGAGATAGTCCTGCGGAACGCCGGATTGAAGTAGGGAAAGTTCAAAACTCAATCGGACCACAAAAAATTGGGGGGAAAGCAAAAACCCTAGGGATTAAAAATTGGGACTGGAAATCTGAACATTTGGGGAGTTAGGGGAAAGGGAAAACGTTGGTTGAGACTTACATTGGCGTCACGGTAGTTGATTATGACTTGGCCGGTGCCTTCCTGGAGGACGACGCGGGCGATGGAGCACTTCCGGCGGCCGGTGCCGATGATGGGTTGCGCGGCGAACCCGCCGGGGAGCCTGGTCTTCACCAGGTTCTTGAAGGGCTCGGACGGCGAGGAGACGGCGGCGGAGATGCGGAGGGTGGTGAGGGATTTAGGGGAAGGTGAGAGGGAGCGGGACTTGGTGACGGGGAAAATGAGGGCGTTTGGTTTCTGGGAGAGTTGAGAGGAAAATGAGAGGGAGGAGAAGGACGAGGCGAGGGAAGAGATGGAGGAGGCCGCCATTGTGGATTTCTTTCGTCTCGATGCGATGAGCTCGGTTGGGGAAGAGGGGGAGTTTCAGGTTCAGGCCTTCTGGCTCTGGGCATAGGGTGGGAGTGAAAGCAGGGAAGAAAGGAGGGGACTGGGGATAGGGATAATGTTAGCTAATTGACAACAATGCCCCCAGCGGCCTAACCTCAATCTCCAAGCCAAGGCCCGAGAACGGTTATCCTTAACGGCGTCGTTGAGGAAAGAAGGGATAATGTTAGCTAATCTACAACACTTTGGCATTTTCTTTTGGCAATATACACTTTCATAGCCATAACTTTAGCGTTTTTCTAATAATAGCCACTTTTGGAAAAATACACAAAATAACCAATTTCATTTAATTCTTTAACGGTGTCAACTAAGAGATTGAGTAGACTAACGGAAAAGGTGATGTGGCAACGTTTAATCACTATTATTGACACGTGGATTTGATTTGAAAACCAAAAATAAAATAATTGAAACCCTATTTTGACTCTCGTCCTGCAGCTCCTCTCTCGCTTCCTCGCTTCTCTTTCTGGCCGCCGCACTTCTCACTCTGCCTCTTACCCAATCTGTTTCCCTACTGCGGGCAACAAGCCCGCCGGAGCACACATAATTGTAGCGATTTCACAGTTGCGGTCGCCACTTGTAAATCACGAACTCAGAGATAAACCCGACGGCGATCTAGCTCGTGTAGTTGACCTCCGAAGTAGGGGGCATCACTGACATGGGCACAACAGAACCGACATGTTGATGTAGCGGATCCAAGCATGTTCCGGGAACGCCTTGGGAAGAGATTTGGGAAATCGCTTCCGGCTTCCCCCGCCTCGCTTTCCGGCCGCGATACTTCTCACTTTGCCTCTGCTCGAATCTGAAATTCAGAATCCAAGGTTGAGGCAACTAGGGAAATCCGCCAGCCCGCCAAGACGATTCCGTAGCTGGCAGTTGTTGTTGCCATCTCCCAATCAACCGCTCCATATCCTAATCGTTCCCATCTCATTCTCTCTCCAAGGCTCTTCTTCCTCTTCGCAGTCTATCTCCAAGGCAGACTCCATTCTCATCTTCTCCCTATTCCAGCCTTTCAGATTGTGAGACAAGATCCGTCTCGATTCTTTTTTTCCAGGGAAATCGATTTGGAGATTTAGGGATTTCTGGTGTTGGGGTAAATCTGAGGAAGATTTTGTGGCAGGAGAGGCTGGGGTGGAGTGGAGATGGTTTTGCACCTGGCTTGGACCTTAAATTCACAACTCTAGAGAATCGCAAAGGAAAGGAGGAGGAAGAGGAAAGGTGGGGTGGAGTAGAGATGGTTTTGCACCTAGTTTGAAGATGAAAAATTGAGGTCGACGGTGAAGGGAAGAATGGAGGACGGTGAGGGGAAGTGGGGCACTTCTTTGGATTTTTTTTTGTTTATAAATGATTTTATTGTTAATGAATTAATTAAATATTTTTAAATAAAATCTTACGTGTCACATATATGTGTAAGTGTTGGTGAGTTGTCAATGATGTGTCAGGTGAGTTGACAGCTAGATTATCTGACCGTTAATTTGACTAACGGTGTCACTGACGCCATCAAACTATGTAACGGAAATGGCTATTATTGTCATCAAACATTCAAATTTCTGGCTATTATTGTTATTTCCCCAAAAGTGGCTATTATTGTCACAACCGTCAAAGTTTTGGCTATAGAGATGAATTTTGCATTTTCTTTTTTCAATTAATTAGCTTATGGGTAAATGCCAAGTTTGGTCACCGGGTTTGCTAAAATGTGTCATGTTTATTCACTGGAAAAAATTAATATCAATTTTGGTCACTCAAATTACTGAAACATTGTATGTTTGGTCACTCTTCGTTAGTCTCCGTCCAACTCCGTTAACTAAGTCTGTTATGTGCTGATGTGGCAAACGAAATGACATAGTCAGCGACATTTTATCCTAAAAAATTGAAATCTAACCCGCCACATCAGTTTCCCCAACCCTGCCCTTGACCCACTCCTCCCAACCCATAACCAGACCCTTTCCCAACCCACAATTACCATTTTCCAAGATGGAAGCCAATGAAGCTCTGCACCTCTACATCTTCTTCCCTATTTGTTCATTGTTTCCATCAAATCCAGATGAACAAGAATAAAAATCCATCAACCTCCCCAAAACCTTATTTCTTTCTCTTCCATTTTCCCCAAAACCTTCTTTCTCCTCTTCCTCCACATCGTCGTATGCCAACAACATTCCCACCATGGCGGCGACCTTCTCCCTCGCCGCGACGGTGGACGACGATGTCGTCAATCTCCCTTCTTCCCTTCCCAATGCAGCGGTAGCAGCAGTCCAAAGCCCAACCATCCCGATGCGGCGACGACATTAAACCGCTCCCTCCGACGCCGACAGCAACGGGGGACTTCGCTGTGGAGGAGGAGAAACCCCCGTTCCAGATCTCAGAGAATGTGAGTCCAAACCCCAACCATCCCGATGTTTCTGCAAGATCATCTGCAACATCGAATGCTGGAAGTAGAGATAAGGGTCGTCGAAGTCCTTCTCCACCGCCACACTCTCCCCCCCCCCCCCCCCAATCGCCTAAACCCTATCACCGTGCTCCCGCACGATTCGCCTTTGTCGTCGTCGTTGTCCGCCGCCACAACAGGGCTAGAAGGTCGTCACCGTGGTGGGAATGATGTTGTCGTACGGCGACTTGGAGGAAGAGGAGAAAGAAGGTTTTGGGGATTTAGTTTTGGGAAAAATGGAAGAGAAAGAAAGAAGGTTTTGCGGATTTGGTTTTGGTTCTTATTCATCTAGATTTGATGGAAACAATGAACAGATAGGGGGAAGGAGATGCGTTGGGGAAAATGTAGAGGTGCAGAGCTTCATTAGCTTCCATCTTGAAAAATTGTAATTGTGGGTTGGGGAAGGGTCTGGTTATGGGTTGGGAGGGGTGGGTTGGAGAAACTAATGTGGCGGGTCAGATTTCAATTTTTTAGGGTAAAAAGTCGTTGACTAGGCCATTCCGTTTGCCACATTAACACATAACAGACTCAGTTAACGCAGTTGGACGGAGACTAATGGAGAGTGACCAAACGTGGATTGTTTCAGTAATTTGAGTGACCAAAATTGACATTAATTTTTTCCAGTAACTAAACGTGACACATTTTAGTAAACCTAGTGACCAAACTTAGCATTTACCCATTAACTTACTAGCTTGAACCCGGCCCGTTGGCCGAATAGTGTTAAATTATTTTGTTATATTATTTAAATCGAATTACTTTTCGTTGGATTGTGTATACAGATGTATTTATACACACAGAAGCCGCTCTGCTGCAGTACCAGCTGCCGGAATTTGAAAGCAAAAAGTCACCGGCGGCCTGCAAATTGGTTGCTGTCACAACCCAGTTGACAGGCAGCAGCAACAAGAATAATAAGTCACGTAAAAGCAAAAAACTGGCCATTCTTTAAATGATGCATCGATGGCGGAGTAAGTATCGCATTCCCACAGAGTCAGACACATCGCTATCTCTATCTCACCCTATATGTATCCACATCATAAGCATATGAAATGTTGTAAAATACAGGGAGTATGCTACGTGAAAACAACCCGCGCGATGACAGCAAGAACAAAACTTCAACCTACCATTACATTACATTATATCATACACAACAAAAGTCTACCCAAACTTGACAAAACCCAAGAATTGTACCCATAAGTACTGATACGAAATACAGGACCACTAACAGAAATACACAATATAATAAGATTGACCAAAAGGAGGCCAATATCCCTCATAAGAGCACAGAACATATATATATATATATATATATATATATATATATATATATATATATATAACAGTAGAATGTCTTCAAACAGGAAATGACATAGCCAGTAGCATAGTAAGTTAAGTCCAAATATAATAAGCAAACACATTCGTCCATTGTCAAATTTTGTAGAAGGTGAGATTCAAATACTTAGTCGACAAACCAATTATCTAGTCAACGACTCAGAGTAATTGATCCTGGCTCTTCCTCTTATAGTTCTTCTTTGTAGATGTTGCAGCTTCTCTGGCAGTATTCGGATCTTGATTTTCATCTCCTGCATTTAACACAACTCTAGCCTTCTCACAAATGGTTTCGACTCTCACTGTATCGATTTGGACCTCACTGTTGGGAGTAGGATTTTCAGAGGGCTCGGCCGTAAGCAAATCAGTTACTTCATGGTCACTGCTCATGCTGCTGGCAATGGATTGGGATGACGAATTGGCTTTATCAAGTGCGGAGAGAGATGGCTGCAACAAAATAGATCCATTGAGCCAAGTATAAGTACAGTCTCTTAATCTGTCATCACTACCCAATCATGTATTGTGTATAGACATCAGCATACAGTAGAGCATCAAGACTTTCCAGAGCAGTGTTAACAGATTGCAATATTGGTCCATTTCATTATCCACCGTATAGAAATGTATTTACTATGCTTACAAAGTAGAAGTCTTTGACAAAATCAATTCCCAAAATAGATAGCAATATAAGCATATACAAAAAAGCAGCAGGATTAAAACATCCAAGGTTCACCAAAACCAATTGTGTATTGAAATTGGTTTATACCTAGATTGTGACTATATCTATAAAAGGCTTGACACAACCCCTAACTTTAGCTATAAGAGAATCAGAAAAACTAATGTAAGCTCCGAAACTGTGTTGTGGCGTACTAACAAAATGACAAACCTGGAGTGCAATAGCAGAGTGAATGGTTGTCATGTTGGAACGAATATCATTAATCTGAAGAACACTGAATTCATGTGCTGAAGTTTTGAAATTGTATTCCTTTAGAATAACCAGGAATTGCAACTCAAGCTTTTGAATTTTGGCAATAGTAGATGGCACAACGGTGCTGTCGTTTTCCGCATCAGCAAATAGGGTTTGAGCTGAGATACCAAAAAATCTCTTCCCTTCCTTATCCAAGATGACAAATATAGCCTCGCCTGATACATAAGAGACAGCAAGTTCTATTTTGAATCTGTTCAACAATAAACCAAATAGACGTGTTAGGTGTAAATGCTAAGTGGACAGAAAAACAATCAAATTTGGATATCAACATGCCGAGAACCTTTTAAAAGAATGATTCATTGTCAAGCGACACTTCTTGCAGTGAAACTTATTTGATTCAGATTCTACTTTGCAGAGGCATTTCTCTCGGCCATCATAATGCCATTCAGTGAGGACATCGTTTGCTTTGCAATTCACAGCAACTATCTTATTCTGCTAGCAAAAAGATAAAGGGATATAAGAAACCGACAACAACAAACTTATTGCATAAAGAAAATAATTTTGTTAAGTTATTCTCGAACATTTAAAAAACCAAGTTTTCGACTTAGTTTGAGTGGACAAATCAGTATTGCACAGCGTGCTAGACTGCATCACCTTATTAGCATAGTCGGAGGTTAGAGCCTTTAATTCTTCAATCAAAAGTGGGCCAACCACTTGACGTTTCTCTTGCTCAATCAGTTTGGGAGTATTATCAACAGTTATGATCATCAGAAATACAAAAGATAATATAAACTCAAACTTGGGTCAATATTTTATATTTCCACCAGAATAGCAATAACAAAAAGAAGACTGTCAACCTTTCTTTCAAGTTCAATCGGTCATAAATAATAGTAGCACCAGATGATGACAACTTCAGTTCCTCTAGCAAAAAACAACAAACAGATAGCAGTAAGGAAGCCACACTGGGAGTGATTTTCTGTATCTTTAACCCACTCTATAAGCATTTGAAGATGCACTCTTACCATTCCACTCAGAGACAAAAACAGAGGTTATGACCAGGACAACATTCCGATTATTAGAAGCGTCGATTATTTTCTCTAATGTACTTGGAAGCCGTCCCCACAAAACCACTTTCACCGGAATTCCCCTTATCAATGCCAATAAGTGACGGTAAATACAAATTCAGCAAAAGGAACAGAATTAATTTCATAAGAATGCGGTTTGACATAATGTACTCAAGCAGCATGATTGTAATTTCTTTGTGATTTGAATTCCGGTTGGTTGATGTTGATTCCCTTGTGCGATAATGTTCCGTGAGCTGTCCAACAACATCTATGCAGAAAAATGGTCGCCCATTATCTAACAACTAAAACAAACTATTTGCAAGCAGTACTAAAGTTTAGGTTTTCTGTATTGGAACTACTAACCTAGCAAGAGAATACGCTGACCGCGATTGGGATACATGTCTTCATGTTTGAGAAACCTAAAGCAGTGCTCCCTAAATGGAGGTACAACATCTGCAGCTAGGACCATGGTTGTTCCGGAACTGAATTCGATGAACATATCGCATGGAACAGGACGAAATCCCTTTTCCTCTTTGACCACATCAAAATTCCGAATTAAGTATGTCTTCTGCTCCTCGATCTTACCCACAAATTTGTTCATTTTTGTTTTCGGTACTTGAATCCAAATTGCATCACCCTGTTAAACAATGATATGAGTGAATCTATTGGCAGGCATAGATAATTTGGAATTAATTAAGGTGCCTACCTTAGCATCCAGAGCGATCATGTCCAGGCGGAGGATTTTGTCTGTGTTCGTGCTTCGAGCTGTCCATAACCTTGAAATTCGGCACTGCAACACCAATGACTGCTTGCCTATGGAAAATTCGGAGATCAAGTTGGATTGCATTATTCGGGCAGAGACGACAACAAAAGTAAGGAAATTCTGGTAACTCTCGACAAACAAATATGCAGAAGAGAAGCAAGAGTATTTATATTGAGCAAGAATGAGACTACCGAAGAGAAGGGAAGTTATGATAATGAAAACAGCCGAGTAAGAAGTGAACATTAGATCCACATCAGCCACGTTCCCGGAGTTACCTCCTCCCTTGCCAAGCTGGAAACCGCCTTAACCGTGCCTGATTGCACATCCTGCCCTTGCGGCACGATTGCAGAGCCGTAGCCGTTAAACCTGGGAAGCCAGATAGTGTGGCAGTTGAGGTTGCCGACAGCGGTGATGGGACGAAGGAAATACATCTCCCAATCTCCGAATGCATAATGGTAGAGGTTTAACATCGCCCGCTATCTAATTTGGGCCTTTTCCCTCTGTTTGGGCCAATAATTTGGTTCTAAATTATGACTAACGATTTTGAGAGATAAGAAATCAACAACTCCATTTTTTTATTACCAAACCAACAACTTCGTTGCTGGCACCACTTTTGCTTTCTACGAAAATTGAATCCTAAAAGGAATGATTAACTAAGTATGGTGCTTACTGCTTAGTTGATTAATTAGCAGAGCACATATTTGTGGAATGAATTAATTAATTATCTTTTAACCATCTCCCTTCGTTAACTTCGGTTAGTACGTAAAAAAATTAACATTACCATAACTTTTGAGATAAATTATTATTTGCCTAAATTTTTTGTTCTATAAAAGTTGGTTATAATTTAAGGGAGTTAGTATCGTCTATTTGGTAAGGTTAGACAGTTATAATTTAAAAAGTTAGGGCATTAAATATGAATTGAGTTAATTCATAATTGCCAAATAAAGTGTCTTTGGCACTCAACTGAACTATGAACTTATTGTTCTACATCACAATTGTTGAAGGGTTATATGCGTTCTATGACTATTTTATATTAAATAAAGGTTTTATACATAAAAATTAGAGCATTCGTCACAAATGAATTTTGTTTAATTATTATTTTCATACCGAACATGTGTATGGAAAGCATTGTTCCTCGTCAATCATTTTTAATTATCAGTAAAACATCGCGAGAATTTGATATAGTAAATAATTTCGGCTTGATTATTTTTGTTAATACAAATTTGACGAATGTAATAAATTAAGAAGTGGACTATTTTTTCCTGAGGCTTACTGACGTGGCAGTTACTGGTAGGTGACTATTGACAATGGATTTTACCTTACGACTTCCCGCCGACAACCCATGTGGAGCAAAGCAAGCACAATGGATTTTCCTGTTCGCAGTAATTGTTAAGACAGAATCGAGTTACGATATCTATAATTGTAGTGGCGAAAAATTAGTATTGTTTTATGTTATCATAAGATTGTTGCAATTTTGCAATTCGTTACAGACATATTGTACGCATGAGGAGAATACATTAGACAACTAAATAATCATTATAAAATATTTACAAAATTTGATTCATCACAAATCTAGTCTAGTTGCGTATTACGAAAAATATTGTACGCATGAGGAGAATACATTAGACAACTAAATAATCATTATAAAATATTTACAAAATTTGATTCATCACAAATCTAGTCTAGTTGCGTATTACGAAAAATAACATAAAGGTCCAAAATAGAAAAACATCACACATTGTCTCCTTGTTCAGAACATGTTACTCAATTCTCCAAAGGCAAGAATAATTTCACCAGCACAAGTTCACAATAACCAAATGCATTGTTCCAGGGACCGACTGTGACCATGACTTCAAATTCTGTCCTCCAAGCATGTTCAGCAAAGACATATAGTCAGTATTGACAACATCTGCAGGAGTGAACACAGATCCAACAATCGCTCGTAACTGTGATGATGAGAAAACAATCTCAACACCGATGAACTCATCCTCAATTTTGAGGTGGACGAAATGGATTCTGGATGTAGTGGACTAGGACGTTGTTAAGTCCGTTACACGTCTGGATAATAGAAATGAGGCCCCCTGGTGTAAAAACATAAATGGATATGGTGAAAGCAAATCGGAAAAATGCATCATGGCACAAAAGTCGTATGATTCATACTAAATTTATTCATTTAGTTACCTGATTTTCAACATCCATTTGCAATAGTATGAGATCGATGCTATCAGCACGCTCACAAATTTCAAAAGCATCATCATATTGCAGAGTAGCAATAAACCCATGGGGAAGCCTATATACTGGAGTGTAAGTTTTGGCACTAAACAGTAAAAAAAAAAAATCGAAATGAACTTATTTAGTATTCATTAGATGCATGATCATTACTTACTGATTGAATTGCGGTAGCCCTGCCATGTTGAGTGCAATTGCCACGGTGATTGGAGCCAGAATGATTTGTTTAGAAAGTAATAAATGAAATTGGAACATGTATCTCCAATATATAAAGGAGAGCAAGTAGGTGGAGACTTGGCCGTGAATTGCTTGGTGGAGTTCATGGGGTACAATCATCATTAATAAAATACGGTACGGGAAAGTTTCATAAAAAATTACATACGGGTATTTTACGTCGTCTCTAAGTTAATATTACGTTTAATAGTACGGTAAAAGTCGTAAATACATAAAATTTGATAATTTTAAAAATAAATAAAGATATAAATAATAATAAAGGTCACAATATAATTTATTAAACATGGATATTAAACATGTTAGACAGATTTTATACATGTTTAGTACATGAGCCATCAAATTTACAAAAAATCCACGTATGGAATTAGTTAAAAAACTATGCAAATTTAAGGATGTAGGAATGAATTTTATTGATCTTATGATATTAGACTTCATTAACTTCAAATTGACCACTTCATTTTGTAATATGATAATTATCAACCATGCGGTATGACTTCTCAACAATTCAATACTTATTAAACAATTTCACTTTTCAATTTAATAATTCAATATAAAACTTCGCCAAAACATCACAAGTCAACGAATTTTAAAATAAATAATAAATGCAAACATCTTTTCAAAAAAATAACTATTCAGTAGACCATCTTTTCAAAATATATCTTTGCCTTGTGAGAGACAACAATAAGTATACTTGTCCACAGCAAACAGATGGCATTAATCCAAAATAGAAATAATTTTATTTGACCAATGCACGTTACAACTTCTGCAATAGCAACTCACAGTGCTTAAAGATGTGATCATGAATTGATAGCCAGTAGTTCTAAGAGTTTTGAGGACATCAGCGTTCCCATCATTATCCTCTTCATTGAAAATATGACCAGCAATTGTTCGAAATAACGCTCACAGGAAAATAACCTCATTATCAACCATGAAATCAGTGATCGTTAAATGGACCGCATAGCATTCACATCCAGTTGACCATTCGATTTCCACATCCTTTACATTTCCACGGAGAAACGCATAGCATGCACAGTGAACGAAATGCAGAAATGTAACATTACAAAAGGGCCTAAACGGTTCAACAATCTGATAATGACAAATAATCGAAAAAAGTCTTTTGGAAATAGTTTGTAGAACATAAAAAGTGAAATGCCTAGCCATATCTGTCTCTGCAACCACATCACCAGCAATACATCTGAAGTTGACATAGAGAACGACACCTATCACCACTATCAATAGCCAAATCGGGGCCCACTTTCCCTGATAATAAAGGAACCACAATCACCACTATGAATAGATACAACAATAAATAGAAATTAAAATTGCAAACATAGCAATTTGTGAAGCTTACTGATTTAACAAAGGATGCAAGTGAGGGCAGTGGATGTTGAGAAACATTTTTGTTGCTCGTGAGGAATAAAACGAATAACCTCCTAACATCAATTTAACAATAAAACAACAAACAAATTAGTACCTAAAATTAAAATGTTAAGATATATTATTAATTTACACACCATGATGACCAGAATTGAAGTCAGAAAATAAATACGGAAGATACATGCTTATCTTATTAACATGTAGCTTTACACAATTTTCAATGGTGCATATTGAAACAATACAAACTTCAAACACTTAAAGGCATTGTCTATAAGGTCTTATATAAAATATCGCCTCCCAAGTCAAAGTAATAAAAGGAAATTCGTATAATTAAATTTTAGCATCAGAATTAATCTAACCAGTGTGCTATTGGAATTTGGACTATTCATAAAGGAGCAGACTGCGATCTTTCTAGTAAGAAAACGGCAGAAAATATTCGCACCTTCAGCTTGCTCAACGAATAGTGATGTAAAGATCGCGATCTGCCCCAAACATCCAATGTCAGAAACAACTTGTTCAAAACTTGGTAATGCCGAGTCCGTCAAATAAACATACGCAATCTCGGCCCTAAAAAAATCAAAAGTAGTTGATCAGAAAAAAAAATATGAGTTTTTTTTATAGAAGGAGCATAAACAAAAGAACCAATGTACGAACTCAGGCAGTAGGAGCGCGATCCGCTTCTTCCGGACGGGTAAACCTGAATAGAGAACCTGAACAGGTTGACATCCAAATATGGTTCCAACCAAATCTAGCAACAACAAACCAAAAAAACCATGGGTTAAATTGTGGGGTGTAACAAAAATAAATTTATTTGAGTCTGCTATTGGTTTAAACCTCATACCCGGCAGATAAGCTTGATTCTCAAATGCATAAGGGATGTCCCTGACAGCAAGAAAACGGAAACTGAATTTATCAATTTCACCCGTCTCCTCCATGAAATACAACAGGGTATCCGCACGAAACGCCAACCGAAAATCCGACATGGCCACTCGATGAGTAGAGCTGTTCTCTTCGATGTCAAACAACCTTACTCCATAAACACAAACCTCATGAAGACTTGACATAAATCGATTTAAATATGGTCGCCTAATGATGGCTTCAACCAATTGACCCTGCATAGTCAAGGAAAATGAATTAATGTCTGGAAAATTGTTACTGAGAAAGGTTCAAGAAGGACTAAAACACTGACCTGTTTGTCAATGAATAATAGATTAGCTTGTTGAAGTGAATTCCCCGTATGATATAACTTCCCCCATAACCTTAGCAGACGCACCCGCAGCACCAACGCTGCATCCTGAACATGACGAACAGAAACAGGTTGAACAGACATGCTTGTGAGATTTGATTGCGACAATAATTGACCAGTTTTGGGATGGAGATAGGATGTGTACGTGAGGTATTTATATGCAAGTAACCCTTAAACGAATTTTGCAGTTAAAAAGAAATCATGAGGTGTGGGTAGCTACCAGGCGTGCGAAAATAAGGGATAGTGGGGAAAACAGTCAAACGCTAAAGTCATCCAATTTATTTACAATAATGAAGCCACGTCTGTGTAAGATGCGGTTGTAATTGACACAAATGGTTTTCTAATTATTTTCCAAAACCAATTGGGTTAGGGTCTTATTAAATT